TATGAAGAACGTAAACTGGAAAAAGTTTCATCGAACAAAAAGTTGAAATCAAAATTGCAGCAAAAATGAAAATTGCGCTGATTGCAGCAAAAAAAAAAATTTCACTTTACGTGTTTGATTCGCTGTTAATTCGAGATGGAGAACAATTTTTAGGGTTTTTGGAGTTGCATTGACTGCAAGATCGCATTTTTGTAGATTTGGTGAAGAAGAATGGAAAGAATGAGAGAAATTCCCGCTGAAAGATACAAAATCTCACTTCTGAATCCCAAAAAACAGAAATAACTCCCCTTTTTTCGGATATGGGCCTGTTATTTTTGGGCTACTCAATTGTAAATTGAAATATGGGATATAAAGTTGAAAAGTAGGCAACCGAGTTGTTTTAATATGAAATTTTCCCTATATAATTCAACCTCTATTAAAAAGATCATTCATAGTAGTATTTGATTTTAACATTTACGACTTTAAAAAAAATAGTATTTGATATGATAAGGCACAATTTATGAATGTGTTGAAAATACAGAATTTCGGCTTACCATTCCACTTTAACTTTAGACACCGTCATCTTGTATCAATTCCCGCCACTTTCTTTCGGTTTATGCCCACTGAGTTTTCATTTTTTAACATTATTTAGTGTAAAAATAAATAGAATACACAAGAGAAATATTCATAGAGCACTACAGTTTAAAGCTTAATTACCATATATAACTATAGTTTGCCTAATTACCATTCATAAATACTGTTCGATTATTGAGACGCGCAACGAGTACACCTTGTGTCAAATGTGTTCCTTCGCGTAAAAGATATAACCAGTATCAACTGTATTCGCTCGTGCAATTGTATTCATTTGCACAATGAGTATAACATGTATTAATTGTATTCGTTCGCGCAATGAATACAACTAGCTAAGGCGAAATACAGAGGTTTATACAAAGGATACAACATGTATTAATTGTATTCATATTGATTGAATTTGTTCGCGTAACGAATACAACCAAAGTGAAATATAGAAATACAAAAAATAAAATAAAAACAGAATGTTTTCATTGAGAGTCGAGCTCAAAACCTTCGCTTACTAAGCAGATGCTCTAACCTAAATCAACTCAAGTTGTTACGAATTTCCACACACATACCTTCTCATTGTTGTAGGTTAGTATTTATAGTACAAAAGTTATACTGTTAGGATGATATGAGATCCCATGTTATTATTAGGGATTATATTACAACAGAAATAGATTCAATGAAATCTGAGTTGGTTGTGATGAGGCCTTATCCGTATTATCCTCTTTATGCCCTCGCAAGATCGGCTCTACTGGACGGAGATCGATCTTGGAAATAAAGTCAGTGAACAACTTCTTTGACAAGGGCTTAGTAAGAGCAACTGCAAGCTGTGCACCAGATGAGATGTGGCTGACTTCAATGTCCTCCTTTTCAACTTGATCACGAACAAAATGGAAGTCTACACGACATGTTTCATGCGACTATGGAATACGGGATTTTTGCACAGATAGGTGATGACGATATTATCACAGAGAACTGATGGGGTGTGGGGAAGAGAAATATGAAGCTCACGTTGAAGGTTGACAAGCCAATTTATTTCAGATAGAGCAACTGCAGCTGCACGATACTCTGCCTCAGTAGAGGATGGTGCGACTGTACATTGCTTCTTAGAACTCCAGCTAATAGGATTGCAACCATGGAGGATAATATAAGATGAAGTTGAAGCAAGAGAGATAGGGTCCCCACCCCAATCAGCTTCAGCATATGCAACAAGCTTAGTTGAAGTTGACGGTCGAAGATATAAGCCATATGTGATAGTATGTTTGAGATAGTGAAGAAGACGATTTGCTGCTTGCTAGTGTTCCATGGACGGGCAGTGCATGAACTGAGCTAAACGATTGACAACGAATGAGATATTTGGCCAAGTGCTTGTGAGGTACTATAGAGCACCAACAACTTGACGGTATTCTTTGCATTGGCAGCAAGAGGACCATCATTGAGAGTGAGGGGTTCTGTGGTGGACATTGGGGTGGCAACACCTTTAGCTTCAAGCATGTTGAAGCGGCTGAGAACATTAGCAATCATCTTACTTTGAGTGAGAAGTAGGCCATCATTGAATGGAATAACTTCAATATTCAGGAAGAAGTGGAGATTCCCAAGGTCCTTGAGATAGAATCTGCATACTCATCATTCATTGCTTCACACCGCTTGGGATACTTTTGTGCTTGTTTGAAGGTGTTAGGAGTTAAGGGTACCGGAGAAGAGGATTTGCGTCAAGATAATCAAATACCTGCTTGGGTTTGAAAATATTATTTTGGGATCTAGTGATACTATGTCGTGGAGGAGGAGCTGATGGGATTTGGGAATTTGGGCAGATAGTTGGTGATGAAGCCAAGGTCTGAGAAGTAGATCTTAAAGAGGGAGATGAGAAGAATGTACCTGATCTTGAGAAGATGCAACGGCAGCACTGTCCGTGGAGGTTGAAGAAGTCCCTGCATGAGTGGCCTGAGTAATTGGAGGTAAGGGGATGGACGATTCAGCTAGGATACTAGTGGAGGTTGGAGGAATAGGTGACATGGCCAAGGGACATAACCATGTAGTTGTTAAGACGGGAGAGACACGGGTTAGATTAGTATGCATGGAGACAAATGGAAAAATGTGCTCAACAAACACTACATGGTGTGATGTGAAGATTTTTTTTGTGGTTGGATTAAGAAAAGCACAACTATTCATAGGCGATGAGTAACCCATGAACACATAAGGATGGCTTTTTGAGTCAAGTTTGTGCTTTGAATAAGGTCGTAACCCAGGGTAGCATAGACAGCAAAATACTTTTAACTTCTGAGGGTTAGGAGAATGGTGAAACAAAGTCTGAAAGATAGACTTTCCTTTCAGGAGAGGAGTTGGTAATCTATTTATTATGTACACAACTGTTTGGACAGCAGGATACCAAAACTTGAAAGGGATAGAAGCATGGTGAAGAATATTAAGTATTGTTTCAAGAACATGATGATGCTTGCGTTCCGCTGTACCAACAAGTTGAGGTGTGTATGGAGGACTCAAGAGATGTTGAATGCACAAGTTTTGAAGGAAGGATTTGAGACCAAGATCATCAACAATAGTTTTGATTTCCTTCATGTAGTCAGCAACTGGACAAGCTTTTTTTTGCAGATTGGAAGAATCTCACGAAGGCAAAAAATTTGGATTGTGATTTGCTTGCAAAAGTTGTCTGAAGTGTCTCCCATGCATGTTTCGCCGTCACTGCGTGCGCTATCATTGGAGCAATAGGGTGATCAACAGATGCCATAATAGCATTGCGTACCAAGCAGTCTTAGTGCTGCCAGAATTTATAGATGGGATTAACATGCTGCTGATTATTTTTAATGATAAATTGAGCAGGACCTCTGATGATCCATCAATATAGACAATTAAGTCATAACGGAAGAGTAAGGTTGTGACTTGGGCTTTTCATGTGGAGCAATTGGTGCTTCCAGTTAACTTAAGCGATAGTTGGGATGCTAGGTTGAAGGAGACAAATTGAGAAGGTTGGATAACTGAAAAAACTAGTGAGGGGGAGGCTAGTGAGGGAGACGTTGAGTTGTTTGCAGTAGAAGATGAGTTGGTTTGAATTTCTGAAACCATTTTTATGGACCAGAAAATGGGTTTAACTCGTTGGAGTTTGAGATGCTTCTGAAACCATAAAACAACTCAAGTTGTTATGAGAATTTCCACACACACACCTTCTCATTGCTGTAGCTTAATAGTATTTATAGTACAAAAGCTATATTATTAGGATGAGATGAGATCCCATGTTATTAGGGATTACATTACAACAGAAATAAATTCAATCAAATCTGAGTTGGTTGTGATGAGGCCTTATCCGAATTATCCCTCTTTATAACCAACTGAGCTACGAGAGGTTGTTGCGCTCTCTCTCTTCGGTTTAAAATAATTGATCACTTATTTCAGTACTACATATGAATTTGGTATAACATTCAAATATAACTACGAATAGTAATTTTTTGAAAATATATTTACAGATGATAAATACAGTTTGATGTGTCACGTAAATATACATATGATGCAGGTCTATGGCCGCGTGTGTGATATTAGTTCGCGAGTACTTTGACTTCTCAAGCTCGCCAAAGTCTCTCAGAGTTCTAGAGAACCAATTTCATGATTTGGCATTGGATAAACATATTTGTTGTATTGCGTAATGCAAATTTTATGCAGGTCTATGAGCGCGTGCGTAATATAAATTCTCTGAGTACTTTGACTTCTCAAACTCTCCAAAGTCTCTTAGAGTTCCAGAGAACCAATTTCATGATTTGGCATAGGATAAACATGTTTGTTGTATCTCGTAATGCAAATTTGATGCAGGTCTATGAGCGCGTGCGTGATATAAGTTTGTTGAGTACTTTGACTTCTCAAACTCGCCAAAGTCTCTCAGAGTTCTTGAGAACCAATTTCATGATTTTTGGCATAGGATAAAATATATTTCTAGGCATTAATAACCTATATATCTAGCTTTTTTTTTTCTTTACATCACTCCTCGGTCTCGTATATGGTGAATGAATATAATGAATTCAATCGAGCAGTTTCTTGAAGCACAAAAGGAAATTACTAGACCAGATAGTGTACATTACATGATATGTGCAAATTCAATGGAGTATCTCTTTTGGAGCTCATGAACAATTACAATACTCAGTATAAGAATCAACACAACGGCCACCCTCCCAGCGCCCATGATATTAGAAAAGGTAGAACATCATATGTTCCCAATACTTATTCAAACCAAACAAATATTTCCATGTCACAATTTGAATTAGCACTGCTAAGATAAAATTAATTTATGTGAAAACTATCATTAATAGTTGGATAGAATAATACACTTCAAATCGGTTCGAAGAGAAAATTAAATTAGGATATATACAGATCCCATACATAAAGGCTACACGTATAGCGAGCAATATTTTTATTTACAGGACTGACTCACTCAACTAGTAAGACGGTAGATTTATAACTTTAAACCGAGATGATATAAAAGGTGAATGTTAGGAACGAGGAGGTGGCTGAGATGGAGATGGTGGATATGGTGCCGGAGGTGAATTTTAGTTCTATGGAGATGGTGGTGATTTAGACTGACGTGGTCGAGGTGGTGATAAAGATTGAGGTGGTGGTGGCCTAAAATAATGCGGTCGCGGTGGAGGAAAATGATGTGGTGGTGGCTTAAAATGACGTGGTGGAGGTGGAGATGATCGAGGTGGTGGTGGTTTGTAGTGGTGCGGAGGTGGTGGAGATAGTAATGGTGGAGGTGGTGATCTATATCTGGGAGGACGTGATGGGGATGGAGATGGAGGTGGAGGTGATCTATATCTGGGAGGAGGTGGTGGGGATGGAGATGGAGGTGGAGGTGGGTATTGAAATGGATATGGAGATGGAGATGGAGAGACAGACGGCGATGGAGGTGGAGGTGGAGATGATCGAGGTGGACGCGGAGATGGAGGCGGAGACGGAGACGGAGACAGAGATGGAGGCATAGAAGGTGGTGGGGATGGAGATGGAGGTGGAGGTGGGTATTGAAATGGATATGGAGATGGAGACGGAGAGACAGACGGCGATGGAGGTGGAGGTGGAGATGATCGAGGTGGAGGCGGAGACGGAGACGGAGACAGAGAAGGTGGGATCAAAGGAATTGGAGGCAGTGGTGAAAGTGGAGATGGAGATGGTGAAGCTGAAGTTGATGAAACTTGTAATGATTCGTAACTGTGTGGAGATAACGAAATGGCATTTACGGATAGCACATAATCTAAAGATACACCAGCGGCTATAAAGCAAGAAGTTAAAGCAAAAACAACATGGAACCACGGGACAAAATATTGAGGGATTTTCATAGTTCTATGCTTATAACTTTGATTGTGTTTAGCAAGGTTCAAGAAGGGGTTGGCCTTATATATGGGATAATATTCCAGTAACAAAGGCATGGATGTTCGTTTAAAACTCTCAAACAATTCCCTATAAAACTAGTTTAATTGTCACTCATTTGATACGTCTCTCCTTATAAATTCTTTCCTCTCTTTTTTTTTTTTTTGGTTATATGTATTCGACAGAGTAATTTGATTATCTTTACCTTTTTCCATTTAAAGAGACAGTACAACAGCTTTAAAGTTTCATATATATAGGCAAAGGCAAATGAAACATCTCTTACTATTAAGTTGCTGGTATGAAATGTATTAAGTATGAAAACTTTTACGAATAAAAAATGAAAATTTCAATTCTAATTTTCGATTTCATAAGGATTTTTTAACTTTATGCCATCATTCTTTAATTTCCTTTACGAATTTACATTAGCATAAAATTTCTAGTGCCTTTTGCATTTTCGTTCTTAGTACACAAGGTGGAATTTAAAATTACATTTTCTTTTGTTCTATTTTATTTAATAATGGGCTCAAAAATGAAACAATCTCTAACTATTTCGTCCGAAATATTGAGTACGAGAACTTTTTGTTGCAAAGAAAGCATAAAAAACAGGGAATTTTCGAATTTTAATTTTCGACTTTGGAAGAACTTTTGCCTAAGCCATTACTCTTTACTTGGCGTATTTAAATTATATCAAAATTTCTACTGCCCATCGATTTTTCGTTCTCCGAGTACATGGTGGAATATTAAAATTTACTTTCTACAAAAAGGGAGGAAAATCAAGAAGTGACTTTCTGTTCCTTTTCTATTTTCCAATTTGAGATTACAAACATTGATCACACGTCCAAAATTTTATTCAACGCATAATTGGACGAACGCAATGCAAACAAACAACAAAGTTTTGCTTAAATGATTCTTCGTCTTAAATGAGTAATTTAACTTTCTAGGAGTAGACTGATATCAATAATTTTAGTGGATTATACATATTTTTTCTAGTTTTTTTTGGATTCTACACGGTGTTTGTTATCCTCATTGAGGCTCCATTAAATATGAATTCTATGGGAAAGTCTTACATTTGGGATGAAGTATCTCTAAAAAGGTGACTCCATATGGAGAACTTTTTTCAAATAAGTCTTTGGAGAACATAAGCCAAAATAATCACCAAATATCATAATGAACATGTACGTAGTTGAGTAGGTCAATTTAAATTGCAATTGTTACAGAATATTTTTCTTTCGTCGGACAATTCTTCCACGAGTCCATGGCATGCACCCAATGACTGGACTTTTCGTTAACTATTCCCACTACAAGAAATTTGATTTTTAACGACCACTTCTTAACGAAGGGACATAAATTCGGTCGTTATAAGTGTACTTATAGCAACCAAATTTTTTTCCAGTCGTTGAAACTAATTAGTAGCACAATATTAAAGAGGGAATAGTATTTGGCCCTTAAAATATAACATAGCCCGTTGTTAAACAATTAATTAATAAAAATTGGCGCTAATATTTTCCTCTTTTTTCCCAAATCCACACCTGGATCGCCAACCACCCCAAAAAAGAAGGAAAAAATCCTAAACTTATTTTGGTAAACGTGCTATTTCTCCTGTCGTATTTCTCCTGCTGTGAACACTTATTTTGGTCACCTCCATTGATAACAACTACTCAACTTCGAGTTTCTTCTCATCAAGGTAAGGTGCGAAATTGTACCCTTTTTATGTTAATTTTAGTTTAGATGAAACCTCAGTTCCAAACCATGGCTGTTCAAATTCAATTTTTAATTTCGAACAGAAAAAGTGACTGAAAAGCTAGGATTTTAAGGGCGAAATTCTTCTCTGCTCTTGAGTTTTCTTCTTCGATTTTCTGTTCGCGTTGCGAAGTTCAGAAGAAAAAAAAAATACAAAAAGAGATATACAAAGATTTAAGTTTTCTTCTCTGATTTTCGGCTATTACTCCTTTAATTTTGGGGTTAAGTTTCTTTCATATATATATATATATATATATATATATATATATATATATATATATATATATATATATATATATATCTGCTCTGTTGATCTTCATCTGCCCTGTTGATCTTCATTCACGGATCTTGCTTGAGTTTGGTTGGTGTTTTGCGGGTTCGGATGTGACTGTTCGAGGACGACGTTCACGGTTCCGAGTTCAATTAGTCGTTTTTTTTTTCATACTTGAATTTTGGAGTCAAAATCACTGTAATTGCTGATTTTTCAATTGCTGTTAAGGAAAGTTTTGCTTAACAAGTCTATTTGTGTCACTCCCTTTCTATTTTATCTAATTAATTGTGAATCGAGCTTCAAAATGAGCCGTTTAAGGATAAGTCGAGTTTGGGGTATAAATTGTTTGGTTAGATAATTGATTTCTTTACGAATTCATTCATTTAAAATTAAGTAAAACTTTCTTGTTGATTCTCAGAATTTGTTTTAGAGTTGCCCTTTAAGAGAATATCTTGATAATGAATTAGTTGGAAAGTCTTTGTTCACTAAAACAGTATATTGTTGGATTTTGCTTTTGATTAGATCCATATTGGGTGCTTCTGGTTTGGTACTGAAATAGCATTTTGTTAGCTAGTTCAAGGAGGTGAATATCCATGGATTAACTGCTGGTTCTAATTCCTGACAGTTTAATGATAGTTGACGTTCTATGTAGCTATGAAGTCATATTCCTAAGTAGCTGTATTTTGTAGAGTGTTAAACGTATTAACACGAAATGAAAGGTGACTGCATGTGCTTTGTGGTAATGTTGCTGCATACGGTGTTTATGAACTACTAAGTTGTATTAATTAATGTTTGTTGGTTCAGAGATTATTACACATAGTTTTGTACTGTAAATCTTTTATCCGTGATTACATGTACATTATTGACAAAACAAAGTTATTTGATGTCCTTATTTTCAGAAATTCTGAATTTTAGTTACAAGCACCGTCAACCTAAAAAGGTAAGTTATGCTATTTTACTTTTCGCAATCAATTTGCATAAACTATTATTTTGTACATGATTGATAAAAGCTAGTATTATTTTGTATTTGTCATTACTATGAGTGAAGTGTTCTTTATGTCAATTGTTAAGTTATTTGTGCTCTTCGCGTTAATAATTCCATGATATAATTTATGTTGTTTGTGTTTACTTTGCTGTGCACACTTTGAATGAGGAAGCTCTGCTTTTCGTTGTCTCTATTTGGGATCTGGTGTTAGAAAAAAAATAGTGAAACCAAAACCCTTTCTGATAAATTTGTCAATCAATGTAGCTGTTGAACTTAGCTTTATTAAGGTAAGAGTATCAATATTCTGAAAACAGAAGACTTGAAATGAAACTAAGATGACTTGTGTAACGACCCGACCGGTAGTTTTGAGTTTTTGTACTTTGCTCGCCAGTTCCCGGGCATGACTTGCCCCGTGTAGTATATTATGACTTATGTAAATAGTTGGTTTTGGTTTTCAGGGTAATCGGAATGAATTTGGAATAACAGTTCTCAGTTTGAAGCTTGAAATTTGAAAGGTTTCACCAAGATTTGACTTGTTTGTATATGATCTTGGATCGAAAATTTTATGATTTGGTTAGCTTCGTTAGGTGATTTGGGACTTAGGAGCGTGATCGGAATGCATTTTAGAAGTCTGTGGAAGGTTTATGCTTGAATTGGCGAAATTAAGATTTCGGCACTTTCCGGTTGATATGTGAGATTTTGATATAGAGGTCAGAATGAAATTCCGAGAGTTGCAGTAGCTTCGTTAAGTGATTTGGGATGTGTCTGCAAAATTTCAGGTCATTCGGACGTGGTTTGTTTGGGTTTTTTATCAAAAGCATATATCGGAAAATTTTAAGCTTGAATCCGATGTGTTTTGGGTGAATTGATGTTAATTTAGGTGTTTTGATGATTGGAACAAGTTTGAATAAGGTATTGGGTTATGTTTGTGCTTTTGGTTGGGGTCCCGGGGGCCTCGGGTGAGTTTCGGGTGGTCAATCGGATCATTTTGGAGTTTGGAAAATTGCAGAAAATGGTTTCAGCTGTTGCAGACATTTTGGTCTTCGCGTTCGCGAGAGGACCCTCGCGTTCGCGAAGAGTAAGCTGAGGAAGGTGGGAGTTTAGCCTACGCGTTCGCGAGGCATGGGGCGCGTTCACGAAGGGCTGCGAGGCTGTTCATCGCGTTCGTGGGCGTGTGATCGCAATAGCATAGAAGAAATGGATGGATTGAGCTTCAGTAGGATTTAACCCACCGCGTTCGTGATGATTGGACCGCGTTCGCGATGATTGGACCGTGTTCGCGAAGGGTCATCTGGTAAGGCATCGCGTTCGCATGAGTTTTGTCGCGTTCGCGTAAGAGGATTTTTTGGTCAACATTATTTTGTGCTTCGCGAACGCGAGGCTTTGACCGCGTTTGCGAAGAAGGAAGGTCAGACCTGGGCGGAATGTTTTAAACTCGTCTTGTTCGCGAATGTGGGTCTATTTTCACCCATAGCTACCCGTTTTTGGAGATTTTTGAAGGAGATTGAAGAGGGATTCAAGTGGAGTCGTTGGGAGGTAAGATTCTTGGACTAAAAACTCGATTATTATGTGAATTCCACCTAGAAAATCATGGAAACTTAAGCTAAAAATGGAAGAACTAGGGCTTGGAATTTTGGATTCTAATTTGTGATTTGAAGGGTCATTTGTGGACGGATTTTGATGTTTTTGGTATATATGAACTCGTGGGGAGATAAGGAACCTATTAGTGTAAAAAATTTTGAGTTTCAAGAAGTGAGCCCGGGGCTCGGGTTTTGCTAATTTCGGGATTCGTGCCCGTTATTGATTGTTTTCGCTTGGGCTTTGTTCCTTGGAAAATTTTGACGTTCTCGTTCTAATTTTGGATAGATTCGATGCGTGTGGAGGCCAATTCAAGGGGCAAAGGCATCGCGAGCTAGAGATGTAGCCTGTTCGAGGTGAGTAATGATTGTAAATGATGTTTTGAGGGTTTGAAA